CCTTGAGTCCAGGAGTTCAAGGTTACAGTGGGCTATGATCATGCCACTGCACTCCAGCCTGGGTGACAGAGCAAGACCCCGTCTCTTAAAAAAAAAAGAACAACAACAACGTATTAATTGCATTAAGGTGGGGGTGCAAACTTTTTTTCTGGCTTATTCAATTAAATTTTTTCAAGTATAAAAATAGTAACTGTATTATGTGCAATGTGTTAATATTAATTTATAGTCAGCCAGGAAACACTGGGGAGATCACTAGGCTGCCAAGAGGAATACTTACTGTGTTACTATGTTACTATCGTGTTCAAAGTTAAGTGTGTGAGCCAAGGTATGAGCAAAACCTTCTGAGGAAACAGTAGAATATGCTACGGTTGTCTGTAGAAGTCACAAGTTTCATGAGGAGGTGGTATTTGAGTGGATTCTTGAAGATAATAGGATTTTATCTGACAAAGAAGAGGAGAAAAGTATTCCTGGCAGTGGCAAGAGAATATACCAAAGCAGACAGGAAGAAGTGTGCCTAGTGGGTTTAATGAGAAGTTATGTAAGGTTTGAGCAAAAAGTACATGAGGAAAAGGAGAAGAAGCTGAGACAGTGGTTGATTCTAAGGGTGAATATATGCTCTTCATGAAGAAAGATGTAAGAAACCAAATTTATTTTCAACAAGTTATTCTGTACTGACATTCCTAATGATCTCACACCTTTTAGTTTTGTAAAGCACCTGAAGAGATCGTCTGATCACGCCCCCTATCTTCGAGGAAGAATGGCATGTCACTGTTTTGTAGTAATGGTGCCTGAGATCCAGGAAGCATATATGCAAATTCAAGTTCAGACAGCTAGTAGAAAGCAGATGGCAACCGTGTATTATACAAATTGTTGAATATAAACACATTTTTAAGTGAAGAAATAACCTATCTGTAATTTATCTTAGTTGGCCGATCTTGCACTGGAACATTAGTAGTTCATTTGGAAGATACTAATGATCACCCACCACAAATTGAAAAAGAAGTGACCATTTGCCAGCAAGATAAGGATTTTGCTGTTCTGGAACCTGTAGATCTAGATGGGCCTGAAAATGGCCCACCTTTTCAATTCCTTCTGGATAATTCTGCCAGGAAACTATGGACTCTAGAAGAAAAGGACGGTATGTAATTATGCTAAATCTTGTAATCTGTAGGGAATCAAGATGGTTTATCATCTTAACTTTCACTTTAGTTTATCATAATAAATACATATTCATTTTAGGAAACTATTAACCCTAATAAAAGGATAATCAGTTGCTTTTAAAAAATTAATATGGTTATGTTAAGCTTAGACTCTTGTTCTGAATATCTTTTAAGAAAACATAAGCCCATTTTAAGTTAATCCTTGAGTAACATCTAATATGAGCATACAGCATTATCAATTATTTTTCAGGTTTTCTGAGAAATCAAAATTATTTTTAAGAAAGAAATATGAGCCATTAGAATATTCTAAATTAATTTTTCCCAGAAGAATAGCAAGTAGGAATAATATTGCTGTTGAAAGATCATAACAATATATATTCTCTCTCTTTTTTCCTCCCAGGTAAAACTGCCACTCTTCATCAACGGCAAAATCTTGATTATGACTATTATCATGTGCCCATCCAAATAAAAGACAGACATGGTTTAGCTGCAAAACATGAGTTAACAGTGAGAGTATGTGACTGTACAACTCCATCTGAGTGTAGAATGACTGGTAAACGTGAGAGAGATGTTCAACTATCCAATGTAATACTTGGAAGATGGGCTATTCTTGCCATGGTGTTGGGTTCTGCATTGCTGTTATGTAAGTATATTAAGTATAATTATCTAGAATGTGTTAGGTGAAGTTTTATCTAATATTTTTTAAATGACAGTTCTTTATAATCAGGATATTTATAGCCTTTGGCAAATGTGTCCTTTTAAAAATTTTGGATTTACTTTATGACTTGGGGTCTTGAATCATAGAAGAAACTTATCAGTAACAGCAGATTAAAGTAAGTTTCAGAGGTGGTAGCCTGAGTTGTTCAATAATTGGCTGTCAGACATTAAGTAAATC